CTTACATAACTTTAAAAAATCCATATTTTTATATTTCAATTACTGTTATAATAATAAATAAAGAAAAAGTATGAAAAACAAGAAATAAAGTACTTACCCAATCTTCTTTTATCTTGCTGTTGGGTTTTGAAGAGAGTTAACCCTAGTTTTTTATACTATTGATAGTAATGCACTTAATAATTTTTATTAAATTAAATAATGCACCAAAGAATATTGACTAATAACATGCAAAAAGTAGACAAATTCACTTACCTCTCAAAATTTTCTTTGCTTTCTAACTATTTGACAAGAACCATTACAAATTCATCAAAGCACATGTTTTTGTTATTTAGTTATCAGTTCATTTGATGATGTCCAGATGATCAGTGAGGGTTTACTGTATATCTTAAAAACAAATATAATAGTGAACACATGGTAGTATTTAATCTTAGTCGACATTAGTGAAGTAGGGAATGTCCAGATTATCTTAAAAAATCTGTTGCAAAATATTGTTTATACGAAAATATTTGTATATGGTAACCTTCTGAAGAGTTCTATCATATGAAAACATGGGTAAATTGAAAAGTACCTAAAAGACCAGAATAAGGTGAATGAAAATAGTATGTTTAATACCACATTAGAAAAAATACAATGGATTTTGTTTTTATATTTTATGGATTCAAACCACCATCAGAGGTTTGAAAAAGATGCCACACTCTGTTTTTTCTAATCTTGATACTTCTCTGATACCTTACTTGAAAGAGCGTCTATTTTGTAAATTTTGTCTTGCTAAGTGGACAAAATTTTGATTTATTTTTATTGTTTTACTCTAATGAGTTTTTTCTAGCAAGTACAAAGTAGAGGAAATATTAGTATGTTTTTTTATTAAAATTTATTCTCACTTGTTATAAGAATAACAATAATTATTATAAATAAGCTAGACCTTAAAGAAATAGAAATTTAGAAATTTTGTGCCTTATGATGGGTATTGCGGATATGCATTTTCTTTATTATGTTAGTGATGGTTTACCTTGACGTTTCTACATTATATTTGTATTGTTTGGAATGTTACTTTATAATAGACAAGGTATGCATTTTAATAATTCTTACTTCTTATTAAAGTTTCCATGTTAAGTATACATATATTTTTAAGATGTTAAACAAAAATATCTATATTGAATACTATTTAGATTCGCTGGAAGTACATGATCATTGATGAAGGTCATAGAATGAAGAACCACCATTGTAAGCTTACGCAGATATTGAATACACATTATAGTGCACCACATCGTCTTCTCCTTACAGGAACTCCACTGCAGGTACAATTTATGTGAAAAAGATGAGAAAACATTTAATACATAATTATTTCTCATCGAAACATGTTCATTTTTATTAATCTAAAGTTTTTCTTCTTCTCTACTACAAGTTGTATAGTTAGCCTGTCTCAGCATTGTAAGCACTGGTTGATTAGATAAGTGTAAGAACTTTTTTTTTACATCAGCTCACCTGAGAATCTCAAAACATTATGAAGTATCTAGTGCAGCATCTCACAACTGTGGGTTGTAACCCATTGGTGAGCTGTAATGCATATCAGGGTTGGTCATTGTCAATACACGGTAAAACATAAATATACTTTTATTTCAATATTATTTATGAAATAATTATCCTAAAATATTTATAAACAAATGAAACAAAAGTACAAAGTACAAGAACATTATGGAAATATATTAGAACAGTAACACACATCTCCCCTGATTGAACAACGATCACAGAAAATTGTCTGAGAACTCTGTGGGTTATGGATTGAATAAATTGGGATACCCTGATCTAGAGACCAAAAATCATTATATAAAAAGAAACATGTTCAATGTTCATGCATGTCAATTCCAAAACTCTTTACAATGATAGTAGATAAGAAAAACTTGGGTGTATTATGTATGTTCTGCCATTACAAGTAGGTAGGGCATAAAGTTAATGCAATCAAACTAACAAATTGCTGGTTGGTGTTGAGTTTTGCTAGCAAAATTTAGAAGGCACTAAAAGAATATTGCTAATTCTCATAAGTAAAGAAGGTTGCTGTAATTATGATTAACAAGATTCTTTCACTTGCCAGTGCCATGCCAATTCTATGATCCCTATTTGAGATACATTGTATACTTACACTAAGTATCACGAAATGGGGTTAGCAAGACTGCAGCTTCAACTCGTTTAATTGGTTGTCAAGGTAATAGCACATGGACTATCTAGCTAGACTCATGCTATCTGGCCTCTGCAGTGCAGTTTTGCTGGCAGCATGAGTATAAGTACTGTGCTCAATTGTTGCTCATTGATAATAATAACAAAATAGAAATGACATAACCTGAAGATGCTTTTTATACATATTCTTCTTAATTTGTCCATGATTAACAAAAATGTTAGGCCTGTTGGCTTCTAATGCTTTGCTAGTTTTCAATATTTAATAAATCATAACTTTTAATAAAAAAATATATTTTATAAGCATGGGGTGGCTGTCAACAGTAGGGTACTTTAGACTTTGTCATAGATATACCAGCTTCCACCCTAATCGAGCATCTTTTAACTTTTGTAAAATAATTTAAATAGAAACACTGTTAAATGCAATTAAAATGAGTTTGATATTCAAATTTTTTGAAAGGAAATCCTGATGTTTAAGATTGACACATATAAATAGGATATATAGATTTTGAAACATTTAATACATGGAATTTATTATGACACATTTACAGCTGACTTTAGGGAAGAAGAATTTTGTTGCTAGTAGTAGCTCAGAATATGTTATAACAAAAATTAATTAGCAACCATTTGCTAGTGCCTTCAAAAGTGAAGGTAGAGGTCTGGTAGGGCATACTTATTTGAAATAGAATAAGTGTACTGAAAATTTCCTATGACTTTTATACACATCATTTGTAAGCTACTGAAGGTCATGCTTATTCTTATTTTATTTAATGTTTTTTGCTTCTGAGTAAATATTCAATTGAAGTTATATTGTATAGCTTGATAATGTTTCTAATGATATTGTTGTGAAAGTTTTTTATTTGTCAAGCTTTATGCAAATTTTTCCTTTACAGATTGAAAATTTAAAGAAATTGTACTGTTGTCATATTAAATGGTATACATATTTGAAATTGTATTAGTAAACTTCATAGCTCTTCAAATAATTTTTTATTGGTTATGTGTTGTGGTTAGTGTAATAATACTAATGTGCAAATTTTATTCCCCTTATATTTAATTTTGAAGTTTTTTGTTTTTCTTGTTTTATGCTTATCCAAAATATAGAATTTTTTTTCTCGTAAAAAATGTTATAATTTATCAGTTTGATTAACAATAAATCAACTTTTTTTTATGTCAAAGAAGATTTCTTTCATCTGTATTTTGTCAGTAGATGGTGCTGATGCATTTATTTATTCCATATTAGAACAAACTTCCAGAATTGTGGGCTCTTTTAAACTTCTTACTTCCCAGCATCTTTAAGTCTTGTGCAACTTTTGAACAGTGGTTTAATGCTCCTTTTGCCACAACAGGAGAGAAGGTATTGAAATCTTGTTCTCTTGGTTTCATTTAATGCTTTCTGCTAGTTAACTTTCATTAAAAACAACCTTAGGTAGCACATAGCTTGATAGTATTTCAATAATTTCTGCCACCACTAGGAAATACAAGAAAGCAGCAATTATCCTTACATGACTAAAACTAACTGTTTTAGAGCTAAACTTATTCCTTAACTCGTAATATTAATTTTAATTAGATGAAATGCATATTAATTAGAATATGATAGTATTTTAGAAATTCTGTTGCAGATTTTTTTTTAATTATCAGGAATATTATTCTGATTTTGGACTATCTTGTGACAAGTATAATGTTGAATTTGTGCTTCTTTTAGGCTTTTGTTGGTGATAGTTTTAATTTTTATCTCTGACTGTTAATGTGCAACAGCAGAATTCATAAGATTCACTTGGAATGAAATAAAATAATTTCTTAAAAGTACTAACTGTCACCTACTAAAAATATAGTTAACCCTTTCTTTAACCTTAAATCATGAAACTGTAAATACTAAAACTCCAAATTTTCCTAGTGTATCTTCACAAAATTTGGCAAGCTTTTAGTAAACATTACAAGTCTGTTATATACACACACACACACACAAAAGACTTTTTAATAAAGTGTACATAGTAAAGATTTGTCTGTAAATTTCCAAAGCCTTCACTGAGTCAATCGTGGTGCAAGGTGATTTTCATGGTAAGAATAAAATACTCCTTTTTGTTGTACAGTTTTCACATATCATTTACATGACCTCTAGAAGCTCCTTAACTCTTTCAATATGGGCTTGGTCCCTGGTACTGATCTCGTAACATTTTGTGCTTAGTAAGCGAATGTTAACGAAATTTGGCAGATTATTAGTAAACATTACAATGCTTTCATATGCAAAATATAAATTTTTTTTATTAAGTTTTAAGGTTTATGAAGCAATGTTTTTCACATCTCTTTTTTTTCTTTTTTGCATGTTGCTTATCTATCATCCAAAGTAATATTCATTTGAAGATTAAAAATATTTTTATGCATCAGAAAATTTTGAAATTTCATGTGCAAAATCTTTATAATGTTGAAATAGTTATCAAATGTTTCTTAAGAAAAAACTTTACATTTTATCTGTTATTTTCAGTAATTAATATCTGTACGGGTTTGGTAGACTTGACCAACCTCACAACCACCATAGAAAATTAGGAAATAAATATAAATTATGCCTCTTTCATTCTAGAATGAACACAAATTATAACAAGAAAACATAACTGTTTCGAATAAATAGCTTAAATCTCATAACATAAAACATTTATATAAATTTATTATTTTATTATATTGACATTTCAGCCATGCCTGGCTAACAATACAGAAGTTACAATGATGCGGCTCATATGCACTCATGCTATCATATCAAATAACATAAAACTGACCTTTGGTCTATGCAAAGTAATTTGTCTTGGCTGTGTTTTTGTGTTTCGTAAAATACAGTCACAATTATTACATTAGATTATTGCTATTTTAAAATACGTTCTTAAACATATTTTTCCTAAAACATAGAACATAAATAAAGAAGTAAAGCAAACAATTATCTCTTCTAGTTACAACCTTTGTACTTGGTTGCTGAGAGGATATGAAACAAATTTTTTTCAGGTTTTATATATACATTTGAATAATTAAAAAAATCGTAAATTACTACATTAATACCATAGAATTCAATTATAATTTATAAAGCTTAGTCAGTAAGACATATTTTAGTCTAAAAAAATATGTAATTTTTAGCAGACTAAAGACACACCCTACTTT